CTTGTGTATATAATAATAATAATAATAATAATAATAATAATAATAATAATAAGTATGAATACAACATTAATATAATAATAATAATATATAATGCGTTTATATATATGTGTGAGAGTTATTATGCAATCATTTACATTTGTACAACCAATACAACTCAATCTCAACCGTCCATTTAATTTGATGAATATGTGATTTCATAGAAGTTTTTATTTTTTTTAATATAAATTATTGATCATACTTAATAAACCCTATTTATCTTTCATAAATATTCAAATCATAATAAATGAACTTTCATCTTTCCATAAATATCTCAATTGATTGAGTTGCATTGGTTGTACAAATGTAATGAGTTGCATTTGAAACATCATCTCTCTCTCTCTCTCTCTCTCTATATATATATATATATATATATATGGGTCAATTCAAGGGAGAACACTAGTGGTAATCGTGAGATCTATTCTCAACCACAATCAAATAGATAAATTAGAAAATTTATAATTTTGATAATTTTGAATTAAAATTTTAATGCAAGGACATTTTATGTATTTTCTCACCTCTCTCTGTCCCCCATCCTCCGATGATACCACTGTGATACATAAAAATATTGAATATGTTAAACAAAAGACACAGTGTGATAACAAACACATATAAGATGCATTATGATACCATTGTGTTACATCTCCGATCGACCACACAAACGACCTCAGTGTGATACCTAAACACATAAGATGCATTGTGATATCACTATGGTATCACCGGAGAAAGGTGGCCAGGGGACAGTTGTCGGAAGCTGGAGGACGAGGGACGGAGATAGAAGAGAGAGAGTTTTAAAATACCTAAATTGTCCTTGCAATAAAACTTCAATTTTAATTATAAATTTTCTAATTTATCTACTGATTTGTGGTTGAAATTGGACCTCATGATTACCATAAACTGATTAGCTTTCATTTGATTAGGCTACTATATATATACTTAAAAAATATATGCATAAAATAGTTATAATATAATTTAAACTTATATATATATATATATATTAACATATAAAAATAAAAATAATAAAATATTAATTAATTAATTATGATATTTTATATTTTTTTTAAATGAATACCAATTTCCAAATCATGTGACATTGGAAAAATACCTCTTGCCTAAAAGGTTACCTCTTTAATTTGCACGTGGCTTTGAAAATTTACAAAAAGAACTGATGGGAAAAGAAGGGAAAAAAACCACTGGGATTACAAATTCGTATTATTGTGGGTCCAAACATACGAGTCCACAAAGCGAACTACCCTTCGCTCATTCCCAAAGCACACTTCCTGCTCTCTGCACCTCTCTCTCTCTCTCTCGATCGAACAACAATGGCGAACAGGTCACATAAGAGTTTCTTCATGCCAATGTTTTGTCGATTCTCCATAAATGACACCGTCAAACCTGCCAAATGCTCCGATTCCTCTTCCGCAGATCCATCATCCCCAAAACTCAGCTGCATAGGCCAAATCAAAAAGAGATCCACCAACACCAACAACATCAACATCAATGGCAACGATCGATTCCTTTCTTGCAGGTTCTCGGCTTCCACCACCGGAAAATCCTCCGTTCATAGTTACATCAAGCTCCACAGACTCTTCTCCGGCAAAAACCTAATTTCGCCAGGCATTGACGCTGTTTCTATCAACACTTGTAGCAGTAAATCTGTGACGAAGAGAAGTAGAAGTTGTAATGGTAGAGGAGGAAAACCGATTGGTACGAAGAAATATTACATGACTAGTAGTGGTGATCAGGATGCTATGAGAGTTACGGTGGCTGAAGAACTAGATCCGCCATTGCCGGTGATGACTAGTAGTGGTGAACAGGATACTATGAGAGTTACGGTGGCTGAAGAATTAGATCCGCCATTGCCGGTGGTGAAAACTCGCCGCGGAGATCAAGAAGCGAATGTAAATCTATGTAAGAGACGTGGTATCGAAATGAAAACTCTCCAGATTCAACCAATTCAATTGCGTATAGATCATAATACCAACAATAACAATGGCAAATTTTCACTTCCGACATCAGCATCAACCTTCTGATCAATCATCAGATCAGGTAAGGCAACCAATTCCATTCAAAATCGGATAGGGGATTTCGTTTCTGTGAAACTTTTTTTTTAATTAAATTATTGATTAATTATTTGGTGTCTTCCAGGGATCGCAAAAGACTTTCCCTCTGTTTTCACGTGTTCATGTATTCCATGTTTGGAACATAGCTTGTGTTTGTTATAACTAAAGTTGCTTCTCTCATCTTCCATTTTCTCCTTATTTTATTACTCAATTTCCTTTACTGGTTAGATTCCAAAGGAATTTGCACGTAAAGCAAAATAAACAATAATTCATTGTCTTTTTATATCCATTCAAAAGGAAAAAGGTTCATCAAATTCATAACAACTTTGTTAACTTGGATTAACTTTGGTTCGATGATTGTTTCAATACATAGCTATAGCTACTGTTTTGTGTTTAAAACACTTGATTAAATAGTTGGTTCCATTTGGGTTTATTCAACAATTATTAAACAGCGAGTAGTTCATCCTTAGGGGTAAATTGGTTATTTCTGTTATTCAGATTGTTGATTCAGATAGAAAAGTAAAAAACAACATAAATTTATCCGGACAGACAAATTTATCCATACAGGACTCAATAGAAAATTTGGTAAACAACCCCTAAGTCATCAATAACATTTTCAACGTTCTTCTAGAACCCGCTATACGAGTTGACTAATCCTAGGACGACAATCCGTTTCACGGGTAGCTCAGAGTCACCGCATTTGAATCTCATTAGCCACAGTGAGATTTTTATTCCTCGTTGGTTTCAAACCTGGGATATCCAGACATTTTTGTCATTTGGAGCCCAAACTTAAACCAACCGGACGCCATCCATGTGGTTCATGCTAAAATGCATAAAACCGAAAAGATAAATATCTCCGTATGTAGAAAACCTCTAAAATCAATATTGAATAGAGAGATTGTTATTTTAATTGTTCACACCAATAAGGTTGAATATGTAATAATTTTTTTTAATTTCAATAAAAAAAATGTATAAAGAGATGAATTGTTTATAAAATATTTTAATAATATAATTAATTTTGAAATCGTTAAAATAAAATAGCTGTTAAAGTTAGATGAACCTTTTTTTACAGATTTGGATTTTAGGATAATTATAATATAACGGTTAGAAATGCTTACGTATATGCAATGCATTGTGCGGCAACAACCAGTGTTGGGTACAAACTCTTTGACAAATTTAGATACTTTAGATTTATAACCATCCACTATGATACAATATTTACATACGAAAAATTGGCTACACATTTATTTCTAAAATGTCAGGTCAGTTTCAGAAATTACCATTCATTAAAATGATTTCTAATCAATTTCTTAAGCTAACACATAATATGAAAACAATATTTTAATCAAATAACAACAAAATTACAATTAAATATTTATTTCTATAACTTGATTAATTATATAGTAAAATAAATTAATTTAATAAAATGTTTTTGATTCAATAAATAAATGTTTATATCTAAGCTTTAAAAAAGAATTTAAAGTAATTTTTTTTATTAACCTGGATATCCAACCCGCTATGCGAGCCGATTAATCTTAGGGTGACTACCTGTTTTGCAAATAGCCTGGAGTCACCGCATTTGAACCTCCATGACCACAAAATGATTTTTATTTCTTCTTGGATTTGAACCTCCGTGACCACAATATGATTTTTATTCCTTCTTGGATTTGAACATCCGTGACCACAATAGAATTTTTATTTCTTCTTGGATTTAAACCTGAAACCTCTTTATACTTTTGACATTTGGTCGAATTCGTAGGTTTAATCTTTACCATAAGTGATGACTGATGAGTATGTGTGATATTATTTATGTTATTGGTAAAATATTAGTAATTTGAAAAGGGCATCGTTTTCAACAAATTACTTGATTTAGGGGGTGTTTGGAATTGTTTATTTAAAACAACTTATTTTTTTTTGTAGAAGTGCTTATTAACTTATGTGATATCAAATCGAAGTTAAATAAAACAGAGTTAAAATTGTAAACTGGTAATAAACAATTTTTCATTAGTCAGAAAAAATTAACTTATCAAAAACACCTTATTACCGATTTGATATGAGTATAAACAGTTTTTTTTTTTTTTTATATTTAAATACCAAAAAATAACTTACCAAACTAAAAAACAGCTTTTATAAAAATCTCAAACACCGCTTAGTCGTCACCCTCTTGTCAGTAACACTCTTGATTATTTGGCAAACGGACCCTAGATCCGTAATTTTCTCTAAAGTGGCATAGAAATGAGAACCTGATTTATCCGGTTTATGTGGCCATGGAGTCTGGACGTATGGCAACAGAGATGCACAAATATTTCTTCTTTTTTGGATAATACGCAGATGGACACTCATTCACCCATTCAATTTCCACTTCTCCATTCTTCTTCTTCAACACCCACCGTCCATAACCGTACCAACGATCAACTATGGCCACTACGGCCGCCACCAAGCTCGCTTCCGGCCTCCTCTCCGCCCCCTGCACCCCACATCACCGCCGGAAACTACCAATTGTATCATTGCATCATCAGAATTGCCAATCTGCAAAGCCTATGGCCTTGGCTATTCGGAGAGATGGGATAGTGTGCAAAGCGACGGAGGTTTCGTCGTCGTCGGTGGCGGAGGAGGGGTCATCGGGGGTTTCTGATGATGGAAGGAATTGGGTTCCGGTCGTACCATTGTCGGCGTTGCCGAAAGGTGAGAGGAGAGTGATAATACAGGATGGAGAGACGATTCTGCTGTTGTGGTATAAGGATGAGGTGTTTGCTATCGAGAATAGATCACCTGCTGAAGGTGCTTATAGTGAAGGATTACTCAATGCTAAGCTCACCCAGGTTTGATTTCCCCCAATTTTTCCACCATAATTTCCAGGTGAAATTCGAAATTTATGTTATGAAGTTCAATGTGGTTATCAGTTTTTCTTGAAATTTTAAAGCATTCATATCACTTTGATTGTTAATTATCATGTGTACAATGTGTGTCAAAGGCCTGTTTGTTAGCAGAAAGCCAAGTTTTTGACACAGAAAGTGGCTTATTCAGTAAGCTTATAGGAGGAGCTTTATGCGGAAAGCCAAGTTTTTTGGGCCCTCCCAATTAAGAAGTACACCCATTCCATCTATGAGACAACTCTCCCAAACAAAAACCTTCTAAATCTATACAGACAGATTAATCCAACTAGACAACTTTATCCGTATATGACTTAATGGAAAACCAACCAAACAGCCTCTTATATTACTCTCCAAAAAGCCCATGATCACATAAGGGAGGTTCCAAAATATATGGTGGAGAAAAGGTTAGAGTCTATCCAATGCAAGACTCTGATGCCCATGAGGCTGGACGGGCACATACTGTCCCGTAGTGTCAAGTTCATAGACCAGTAGACCTTGACTCTAATACCATGTGAATAAACGGAGCTCCATTAGGTTAACCCCATGAGGAGAGAAGAGGTGTTCCAATATATACCGAGGAGAAATGGTCAAATCAAAGAGTGTTGAGAGGGGGCTAGATGAGTAGAGATTGCCCTAGAGTGTTGGTAGACCCTTGCTCTAATATCATGTAAAACCCCGCTAGATTTCCCCCAAAAGAGCTATTGAGTACAAAATGGAGGCTCCAACATATATTATAGAGAAATGGTCCAAGTCTAGTCGATGTGGAACTCTAAGTTTATGACAATAACATTACTTGTTCCAAATGTTTCATAGCCCACTTATTGTGTGTATTATACATTTCAATGACTAATTTTGTTAAGTTTTTCTTGATGGGCATTCCCAATTTATGTTTTCCTTTGGGTGGTGATCAAAGTTTACTCCAAGGAATCATTGGTTGTCCGTTGTAGAGATCTCAGAATGTTCTGACTCATTGGTCGGTTCTTCAAACTTGAAGAAGATCGTGTGTGCCTTTCACATGATGATCTTGGGCCGGGGAGGTTTGGCCCTCAAAGAAAGTGATAGCACCTAGCAGGAATCGAACCCGAGGCCTAATGCCACATTGGACACAAGGTCCAAGGCGAGTGACCCAAGCTTTAAGTTATAAAAGAACTTCATAGTTTAGAATTTGCTTATCTCATGCAGAGGAAGCACTTTGCATACACTGTGTGGACTAGTTAGGTGAAAGATATCAGGTACCAATGCTACATAAATAAAATTAAAAACTATCTCCAATGCATCAAATTTTTGTGTGGTAGCAGTGGGTGTCCGAGTCAGTTTATTTGCAAAGCATATCTTGACTAATTCAATGATCCCTAAAGATAACAGCCATGAAAATCCTAAGTGATGCTAGGAGTTTGCGACCTATGAGGAGGCCTAACCTTTATCTGCCAGTTGATCTGGCCCCAAAGGTTAATGCATCAAATTCTTCTCACCTTCCTCGTCGCCTTTATGAACATGAGATTGATGCATTGCCACTAGTTTCCATATTTCTCCAATAGAATTTCAACAGAGATCTCTCTACTCCGCTGGGTAAAGGTAAAATCTATGTACATCCTAAGTATCGAATGCAAGCCCTTTGGTGAAATTTTATTCTTATTTATGGAATACAACGACCTAAAGTAGCTAAAATGATTTTTGGTTCTACCCACGGGCAAGAATACTCCGTGTAACATTTCATGTTTGGTCCCTGCGGTTTGTTGTTTTACGTCTCGAGTCCCTGAAATCAAATAATTACACAAAAGCGTCTTGTGGTATGCCTTATGCATTTTAAACACCTTTGGTCACTGCTCCTAACTCCATTCGATTAACTCAGGGGCATTTTAGTCTTTTCACTTCTTTTCCTAATTTTCCTTGATTTTACCATAATTGTGCAATATTATGACTGATGTTAAGAATGTTGTGCAGGATGGGTGTATCATGTGTCCAGCAACCGATAGCACATTTGATTTACGAAATGGGTCGATCAAGGAATGGTTTCCGAAGAACCCCGTGTTAAGAGTGCTCACACCCGCATTGAGGAATTTGTTCGTTTATCCCGTGAAAGTTGATGCCGAAAATATCTACATAAGCATGGGAGGATCGGTATCATCTGATGCATCTGCAGAAATCGTATTCAGTGGAAGAGCTCAACCGGGTATGACTGCTACTGATGTCAACGTGGATGAGGTAACTTAACAATTTCTTTCACATTCGTGTACCCCATGGGTTGGGAGTGGTTCGTAGTTTATGTCACTAGCTTATATTACGTCCCACGGCAAGAATAGGAAAAAAAAACCGTGTACGGTTGGCCAAGCTTAGCAATAAGGGTTTAGGCCAATATTCCACATGGAGGTAGGGTCGAGGGCCGGATGTAAGCAGGCTTTATCTCTCTGTCCAAAGAGACTGGGGTTGTTTTCAAGAAGACCGCGGCTTGCAAGAAAGGTTTAGTAAAAGACGGAAAACTAGAATACGTTACATCAATCGTCCCTGTGGTTTTAACGAACTCCAATAACGCCACTCCAGTTTAGAAATTACACCAGGACCCGTATCTTTTGAATATGTTTGCATCGATGGTCCCTCCCCTAACGTCCATTAAGAGAATTTAACAAGTTGAGGGGCATTTCGATCATTTTTAATTAAAAAAACCTAGCATACACAGATGACATATACACAAGCTTTAAAGACTTGTACACTAGTTTTTTTTAGTAAAATAGGAAAATGACCAAAATACCCCCCCAACTCAAGCGATGCTCTTAACGGACGCAAAGGGGACACTCCTACAAGCAATCAACTACCTTAACCGCCGCTTCCAAGAATTCCCATCTGAGATCATGCCCTCCCAAAGCACCGAGCATATCTCTAACAACTATGCTATAATTTTTCTAAAAATAAAGTACTTAAAATCCAAATCTCTAAAGAGATTACATCCAACTCCAACAGATACTCGTTATTTCTTTTATCATCACCTTTTCCACTATATTTTATATTGGTGTTCAGGTAAGAATGGTGGTTGATGAGGGTTCAGGAGGATTTGGTTTCACAAAGAATAATGAACTGATTAATGGGAAGGCAGCCATAATTGGGTTCCTGTTGCTGTTAGATTTTGAACTCTTGACTGGTAAAGGAATCCTCAAGGGTACAGGCTTCTTGGATTTTCTTTATTCTGCTACCAATACATTCAAGTAAACAACATTTGTCGTCGGTAATCGGTAAGATATACATTCTTTGCTTAAAGTTGCGTCTTTTCGTTTGTTTTCCGACAGTTTTATGAGATATGAAATGGATCCGGTGGTCGTATACCCGTTATAAGTTTGTTCAAATTACGATGGCTTTTTGTTCCATTTCGCTTTGTGTGCTTAAGACGGCAATTAGATTATAACAAGCCCGGATCTTGAAAATGGTCTCTTTATTCTGTATAGGATCTACTGGGTTTGTCCTGTTTGATTATGAATATAGAGTTCTCTTTCTTTTACAAACCTAACAATTCTTACGAGCTTATAAACCAATTTTCTTGTGTTGTTACATAGATGTGATGATGTAGTGTTTATACAATGTTGTTTAATATGTGAAACATTCATGACTGTTTTTTCCCACGTACAAACAGATCGTGGACGCTTCAAATATGAAACAACAATGTTTACACATTGATTTTCACATGTGCTTATGAAACAACTCATGAAAACTGATTTACAATGTACGAATTATTGATATGCGGACATCACTGGATGGGACTGGAACGATGATGAGTTTGAAGGTAGGCAGTGAAAGAATTCTAGGTTTTAAATTTTAATTTGACAAGGGTAATTTAGTAATTTGTCTATATTGTCCCATCTTCCTCGGTTTTTATTCTATCTATTTTGGTTGGACAACTAAATCAATATTTTTGCCCCATTTAGTCCAAACCCAATCTAGTTGTCACGTCAAACAGGGCCAAGTTTTTATTTTGTCCTGTCCTGCCTACCAAAAACCAACCAATTAGGCAGCCATAACGATTTGAAGTAATGGACCGTATTCTAAAATCCGTAGAAATACCTTATTCAAACCATCCTTAAAAACATCATTAACATACACAAAATGAACATGTAGGTGTAAACAGAAACATCCCCTATTCGTTCAATAGCTGAATTCGAGGGGTAGTGTGTCGAGAAGAGGTGTGTGGGACCGTATGAGTGCCTCCGGTGAGAAGTCGTCTTGGTGGGGATGGAGTTTCTAAAACCGATCTTCCCGTGCCAATATAAGAAGTCGTCCTCATACCTTGGTGTGACAAAAGCAAGCGGAACGTCCACGTCAATACGTCTGGTGCAAACACCCTGTACAAAAGGAACACGTCGTACCAACTCGGGAATTTCACATGCGCATTGCCTTGCACGGCCGCAGACACGATCAACTTCGCAAACTCTTCCACGGGACCACCCGAAGCTTGTACCTAGGGATCATAAGTAACATATAAGCATCTACTACTCATATTAGTTGCTACTTCCCACGTCCAAAATAAATGTCCATAATGAAAAATACACACAGTTTCAAAGATGTATAATTATTATACATTTTAATTAACTAAATGACCATTTTACCCTTAATAACGGAAGGAGTAATGAACTTATCCTTCTCATAATTAAGGGTTTCATGAAAAATAGATACTTAGTTTTGAAAGTGGACAATTTTACTGAATGACAACTTACCTTGATAACACGGAGTAATATCCATCTCAAAATTAAGGGTATAATTGGAAATGAGATGCTTACTTTTGAAAGTGGACACGTATTCTGGACAATTATTTTAGAACGTAGGAAGTAACATGTCGGGGGGACAGGGAGATTCGTGACAAACTTACTTCTCGTTCTTCCTTCCACTGCATATCTGCACCTTCTTCTAGCATGAATTTCCCTCGGGCCATCTCGGCACCGATCCAACCGTGTGTAGCAATCGTGATTCCAACGTCACCATTCAGTTCTAACCTCAACGTCTCATAGAAGTTCACTAGAGCAGCTTTCGCAGCCTGGTCAAGCAACCGTTAGCATAAAAGCCGATAGTTAACATTCACTCAAAGGAAAACGAGCACGAAATAAATGGTCAAAGTGGCTGTTTCTGTAACTCAATCTTCTGATTGTAAACAGAAAATGAAAGAAATTACAACGGGATTGGATCCGAATGTGCTTACGGAATATATGCTCATCCTAGGGAGAGGTAACCAGTTCTCGACTGCAACATTAACTACAATCCGGCCATGACTCTGTCGGAGGTAAGGAAGAGCGACGTACGTAGGATAGACGTTCCCCCAAAAATTGATATCCTGAAATTTAACGGAAAAAGGTACAAAATTCATCAATCATGGGCCTACCGCATTCTTCGGGAACGAGCTAAAGCCCTTCGAATTTGAGTTATACCATCAAAATCGGGAACACCGACGCATCATTTGCTTCCTCGAAGTAGAACGTATGCCCCAAGCTTGCCGTGTTTACTAGATGATCGACTGTAGAGGATGGAACAATCAAAATCGAAATAAAAATTTGCAACAATAACATGCCACATGGAACATTATGCCCCATGATAAGTATCCACATTTCTATTTCGATCTGTCTGAAAGTAAGTGTTTACTTTCCAATTATACCCTTAATTATGAGACGGAGAAATTCATTACTCCCTCCATTATTAAGGGTAAAAACCGTCATTTACTTGATTAAAAAAAAGGATGATAATTACACATTTCTAAATCAGTATTCTTTTCATTGTGGACGTTTATCTTGGGACAGAGGGATTGTTTAGTAATCAATGCTTGTATTTTATTCAAAGTCGAAAAGTAGTTTGTAGCAATGTGAACAATTGAGATTTAGATTACCTCGCCCAAAAAAACCTATCGTCTCGTTGATGAATCTCCTACAATCCTCTTCTTTGACGACATCAGCAGCCATTACCAAGACGTTCGGTGCACCCAGTCGTTTAGCGTTTTCGCTGATCCCGTGCAGTCTGTGCTCTCTACGTGCTACTAATACAAGATTTGCTCTCTTCTTCGCGTATTCATACGCAATTTGCTGACACCATCAAGAAAAATTGTATGTATGAATCTGTAGATGATTATGTAACTATATGTATGCAGGGATAGATCAGATAAACTAATAACACTACAGCTTCTGATCTTCTAGTTACTGGCTGGACAAAGGGTCAATGGCCAAACGACAACTGGGTTATCGGTAGATCCCAACCGAAAATGTATACAGCGGAAATTTGGTCTCAAGTGAGAACACCTTCATTTTAAGAAAATGCAAGAACTCCCATATCACATATGATAATACATGAGAGGGGATTTGATGGTGTGCGGACGGCTGCAACCTAGGTTGAGTTAAAGGTCGTCCGCGTCTCTGATCAGTATCACATGTATGTGATGGATATAGTATCATATGTGATTGAATATTGTAAAAAGGTGTTCTCGCGTTCTTGTTTGAACCCTTCATATATATATATATGTGTGTGTGTGTGTATAGGGTTGGTTCCGGTGAGAATGAAAGTTACGGGGAGAAGGGTAAAAAGGAATCTCCAGTTCTCCACCTTTGGATGCACATTAGGATGAGATGCACCAGATCAATTTCCGTGTCAAGCACGTTTCATTGGTGGGTTTGAGATTAAAAATGATCAAGGGTTCATATCTCTTTCTTACTAACTTTTCTTCTCATATGATCCTTCGTGTATATATATATATAAGTGGTTTAATTTACAAACTCAATTATTAATACAAACCAATCTCAACCGTATATCTAGTCTAATGAATATCTTATTCAATAAATATTTTGATTGTTTCATAATATAAAATGTTGATCATAATAAATAAACCTTTCCATAAACATCAAAATCATAATAAAAACACTCTCAAACATTTCTATAAATATATCAATCAATCTGGTTATATGATTTATACTAATGGTTAGACTTATAAAAATCTCTCCTCTCTCTACAAAGGAGGTTGAATTGAAAACCTAAGTTCCTTCTTGAGCGCCATGTGTCCCTCACATTACCGGGTTTATTCATATTCATCATGAATGGGAATGTGTCCCTTACCTTAAGTGCCTTATTCATATTCATCATGAATGAATGGTCAACCAATTTATCATGGATCATAAAATGATATATCATTCATTATGAATAATTCACGTTCATTATTCATGATAAATATAGACAACAAAAACACGTGTCACACTTTTCTCTATCATCAATCCAATAAAATCATGATCATTTACTTGTTTATTCATATCCAACTCGTTATACAAGTCAACTAATTTCAGGACGATCACCTGCAATTTTATTTATAAGTAGTCCGGAGTCATCGTATTTAAACATCTATGGCTACAAAGAAATTTTTATTCCTTCTTATATTTGAACCTTGAACCCAACACTTACAGACATTTTTTGATCCCCAAACTCAAACCAATCAGTTAGAAGCTATTATAATTATAATTACCCCTAAATTCACTTTTCAAAATTCAAATTCAATCTTTCTTCCATTGCAATTACATTAAGCTCAATCCGAACAGCTAACATACCTCGCCGATTCCAGAAGAAGCGCCGGTGACGACGACGACTTTGTGATCCATATCTTCAGTATATATAGAATAATAAAGCCACTCACAGGTATTGATGAAAGTAAGCGCTGGCCATGATAAGGCCAGCGTCACCAGACTTGCAGGCGGTACAACCCAATTCAGCACAGAATTGATCATATCCATCATCACCATCCTGCACAGATCGATGGATAGATACAGATATATATATATATAGAGAGAGAGAGAGAGAGAGAGGCAGAGAGGTGATCGATGGTTAATTGGATAGATGACGATGAGAATTATGAAGGGAGGAAAGCGGCGAGTGAAGACGAATTTCAGGAGAGTTGCTGCTACTGGTGGTGGTGGGGCGGCGAGATGTTATGCAAATGGGGGAGGTAGTCATGTGACCAACACGTGTCTCTTTTTGAGGGTGTTGTGATGGATGGGTATATTGCATGCCACTGTTCCCAAGAAGGTGAATGATTGAGGTTTCATCCTTATGTTATTGGTAAATTACAGTTTCACCCTTGTCTTCATATTATGTTTATCCAAAAATTACATTGTTAAAGATTTTGAGAAGAAAAATAATATTAACAGATCATTTACGTTACCAGATGAACATAATTTTATCTGATAACAAGTATGGTCGAAAACTCACAAAACACAACTGCGAAAGAGACCATGTAATTACGGTCCACAACTCTAATTCGAAAAACCAAAGTGTCTTTGGCCTAACGGTATGTGAGTACTTGACCTACTAGAAGGCTAATGGTTCAAACCTCACCAAAGGTGAGGTAGGGGTGTGAGTTTATTTGTTCTATTTGTCGTATATAAATATTATATACTTAAATTCAAAAAAATATTCTTATCGAGTGTCAAGTTTCATTAAAATTATACAGTTTTCTATCGTCATCACAACTTTTATCTGCACCGACCCCACCTTCGACCACCAATATCACTAGGCTATAAATGTCGTCATCAGAGCTGCAACCCTCATCCTCTCAAAATAAAGATGAAGATTCCAATTATTTTGAGAGATTACATTCCAATTCTTACCAACCAAATTCATGGTCATCAAATTTCATTCCAATTTCTTCAAAGTCAAATTCCACCAAATTCCATTTTGACGTAATGGTTTTGAATGATTTAAATTTCGTGAAAGGATTTGGAGTAAAATTGAATTACATTCCTTATAAGAGCATATTATAAGACTTAAGATCATGTGAGATCAAAGGTTTTTCGTGAGACCCGTAAGACCAATTCTCAATCATAAGATTAGATCTACAGTCTGAACATTCATAATCACAAAATTGCCACGAGACTTCTCAATAATCATAAAATTGCCACCATGCAACTTTAGACCATTAGATCATTAGCATATAAAGTTGATCARTGAACATAAATTGATCTTACGGGTCTCACGAAAAACCTTTGATCTCACGTAAACCCAACCCCTGAAATTTAAAACAAATCATATGAAATCCCGTTAAATACCAACTACCACTGAAATTTCTAAATCAAATGTTTGTAAAATTTCATTGAATTCGTTGGATTGTAATTCCGGTTTTGATTGGAACAGAAAATCGCAAGCAAATGGGCAAAGCCAAAGGACCGTACCGTTTGAAAGTAAAAGGACTTGAGTAGGAAAACATTTAAAGTGTAAGGACTAAATATGTAAATTTAACGGTAGTTGAAGTTACGACCTTTTTCCCGCCATTAAACAGGTTCTCACAATTACAATCTACAGAAGAAAAAATCTTCGGTTGAGCGGATTTCTAGGGTTTCGAATGAACTATTCTTCGATGACTGTGATTCGGAAACCTAATCCTCCATGTTTTTCTGTAAGCTTTTTCAATCATACTTAGTTTTTAATTTACTTTTATTTGCTGTTAATTCTCGATATCATAAAGATTATACGTAATGGATCAATATCTTATAGTGCAAATGAATTTATTTATAAACTTTCCATTTATGGATTTTAGGGAAAATGGTTTCGTCAAATTAGTTATAAAATTCAGATCCAAAGCAATATCCAGCGAGGGGAAATCTTTTGAACCCCCAAATCACCTTCTAGGTTACGTCACAGGCACGACCAGAAATCCCTGCATCATATTTTACTTACAAATTATTTAAACATTTTTTGTTTGATTTCATTTGTGTGGATTTCAATTAGAAATTTGGATCATTTAGATGCAAGATTTCTGGTCTGGGTTCTGACTATCTACCCCTTCCGTTAGGAATCAATTCTTCCGTTTTATTGATCACATTGGGTTTTAATCGACGTGTTTTCGTACCTGGTAGCACTGATCTGAATAAAAATCATCAAAGTGGTATGTTGCTGATTATTACGCCACAATTTTGAAATTTTGGGTTTAATCTTCAGTTCTCCTTATATATACACGTTCTATATTCTTTGTGGAGAATTATTTAACAAAGCCAAGTTTCTTTTGGGGTAGAAAGCTTGGAATTGTAGGTTCTGGGGAAGTGAAATGCTTGAAGAGGCTCTTGCATTTTGTTTTCCCCCAAAGGAGCTGCAGTGAACGACTATTTTCGGTCAATATATGCTCTATCAAGGCTGTCAAGATACATGATTATCATGAATAATCACTCAGATGAGTAAGAAGTTCAATAGTATAATTGGATTGAGTGGCCTGGAGGTTTTCCACACTTGGGTTATTGAAATTTGATTCAATTGAGATAAACCCTGCTATCGGTTCAGAGGGGAGCAAAATGGGAGGGATTTGCTCAAGATTAAGCAGTGGAACGAGTAAAAATGATAGGAGAAAAGAGGGTGGATCGCTTGTTGGAGTACAGGTGGTTGATCCTTTGAATAAAGATGGTGTTCCACAAAATATTAAGACTGAGGGCTCTGTTGATACAGCATCCAAACATGGAACCCAGTTTGAGGATGGTAAAAGTAGAATCACTGAGAAATCAAAAGATAGAAATAGACGATCGATATCTGAAAGGGTACTCGGTTCAAAAAGGATGCAAAAGATAAAAAGCATAGTAGGTGGTACCCAAGCTGCACAAAAAGCAGCAGGATGGCCGTCGTGGCTAACTTCTGTTGCTTCAGAGGCCATACAAGGATGGGTTCCCCGAAGTGCGGAGTCATATGAAATGCTAAACAAAGTTAGTACTTGTTTCAGTTATTTGATCTTTCCTCATTCTTGTTATGCGTTCTTTCTGTGTTCAACATCATCCTCTGTTACCATAAACAATATGAAACCAGTTTCTAGTATGCTCTTTAGTTGGCCAACCTACTTTCAGTAATAAATCAAGCATAGGTTCTAAATAAGTTCAAAAAATGCAATCAAATAAACAATATAAATCCAGTTTCTACCGGTTTATACATAAGCTACTTATGAATTCTCCTTATCCCATAGTAGTTCCACCATTACATTGCTGATTTTGAAAATAGGTAGTAAAGATAAAAGCATATTGTCTATGCATACTTGTATACAAATCTGATTCAACTATGATATGGAAAGTTGATAAATGTTTTGAGACGTTGATTAATGGAAAGGGTGAGAACTGAGAAGGGTGTAATTTACATCTCTCTCAAGTCGTTGCATTAGGTCATAGAATTAGGCTTGATAACATGATTATATTTACGTGGGATTATGACAATGTAGTTGCATAATTAGTATCAAAAGTTGATATATTGTTTATACATGATATTTTCTCAACGCAGATTGGGCAAGGCACATACAGTAGTGTTTACAGAGCCCGTGATCTGCAAACTGATAAAATCGTTGCCATAAAGAAAGTGCGTTTCGTGAATATGGATCCAGAAAGTGTCCGTTTTATGGCCAGGGAGATTTGTATATTGCGAAGATTAGATCACCCAAATGTTATGAAGCTTCAGGCTATAGTTACTTCAAAGTTTTCAGGCACCTTGTACCTTGTTTTTGATTATATGGAGCATGATCTTGCTGGGCTTTTAACATCACCAAAAGTCAAGAAGTTCACAGAGCCACAGGTTTTCGTTTTCCTTGTTTTCTTCATACTTTATGATCATAATTTAAAGATCCTATTGATTCATCTTAATGGTGATTGATGGCAACCACAAATGTTACTTAAATCCTGTTTTTTTCAAGAATTGGCCAATAAAGTCTTGGCTTTTGTTGGTTTTTAATGTTTTCATTTGTAATGTATTTTGGGTATATGCTTGTAGATTAAATGTTATATGCAACAACTTCTTCGTGGATTGGAGCACTGTCATTCTCGTGGTATTCTGCATCGAGACTTAAAGGGTTCAAATGTTCTACTTGATAACAATGGAATTCTCAAGATCGGAGATTTTGGTCTGGCTGCACGCTTTGAGCCTGGCCAACGTGAACCATTAACTAGTCGTGTTGTAACTTTATGGTATAGAGCTCCCGAGCTTTTATTTGGTTCAACATCATACGGCGTCGGCATTGATATGTGGAGTGCTGGCTGCATCCTTGCAGAACTCTTTACTGGAAGGCCTATCATGCCTGGAAGAACAGAGGTATTTTTATGCATTTTTCACTTTTATATCCTATTGTGCCTCTATATAGATTGAAACATAATGCTTGAAATATAAAAATATTTTGCGTCTATGAAGCTTTTCGGTTCTTATAGATAGCAACTCTATCCTTTCTCCAATCACACACATAATAATACTTGTAGAAACCATAAATCATATAATCAACATTTGCATTGTTTGAATTTTCCTACATTCATGAGCATTGTTGGGATTTTGCTATAAATATCATGAAATACACAAAGGTAGGTTGTCTCCTTCTATAAGAAAAATTCAGACAGAAAATGCATATCCTAATTGCATAGTTCGTGTTTTTGACCGTTTGCTTTGATGTGCGGTTTAAATTCCTTTCTGTATCCTGAATTTATGCTCATCAAATGTATCGTTAATGTTAAAATCATTTTCCCTTTTGAAGTTGGAATTCTGTTGCTAATTATTTAAGTTAAAATGAAATCTTAGGTTGAACAAATACATAAGATCTTCAAGCTTTGTGGTTCACCTTCAGAAGAATACTGGAGAAAATCAAAGTTACCTCTGGCAACTAGTTTTAAACCTAAGAAACCTTATAAGCGACGCATTGTTGAGACATTCCAACAGCACCTGTCTTCTTCTGCTTTGGCTCTTTTAGATGCCCTCCTTTCAATTGAACCAGCCGATCGTGGTACTGCAACTTCTGCACTCTCGAGTGAGGTATGCTTGAAACTCGGCTTCATTACTGGAAGTTAGTATTTTATTCGAAAGAAGTGATAAGAAGCACCTATGGAGTCTTTTATTTCATTATGCCTTTTCTGTTTGTTACTTTTTTCTTTCTTTCTTTCTTTCTTTCTTTCTTCTTTCTCTTCCCTTCGTTTTGCTCACACTTTTGCACAAGCCGGGGGTCTTCACAGAAACAACCACTATATCCAGGTGTGCTTACATCGCCCCAAGACCTAGCTCTAGAGCGGGATATACTGGGATCATTTGGTTTGGTTTGGTTTGGTTTCTCTTGTACTAATAACTGAACTTTTATTTCGTCCCAGTTCTTCACAACACCACCTCTCCCTTGTGATCCATCCAGCTTACCAGAATATCCTCCAAGCAAAGAGTTTGATACTAGGTACCGGGAAGAGGAAGCTAGAAGGTAGATAACATGAGTCCTCATTACAAATTTCCCCAACTTGTGGATGAAATGAATCCTCATTATAAATTTACTAGTTGGGGAAAGTTCAAATAAGAGCCATAAATACTTTAACAACCTAGGAACCAACTATTCGTATTATTCATGATGAATAACATGTATTTTCATAATTCATGATATCATGCATTTTCACATGAATATCATGAATTTTCCTTATGGATAATTTTCATCATAGATATCTATCACAACATTCATCTATGGATAAAACATGAATAGTTGGTTTCCAGATTCTCAAAATAATTGTTGTTCTCTTGAACCTTCCCCTTTACTAGTTTGACATAAAAAGACGAAAGACATATCGTTTATGGAGGGTAACTATTTTCTATGACCTACTAAAAACACCTTAAAGTTCTGTAGGATTTTGATAATGGTCGAGTTCATGCTTGTGGCTTCGCAACTCAATATTCTGTTGTTGTCTTGAATATTTTCAGGCAGAAAGCTGAAGCTATGAAAGGACATGTGCCAGAATCTGTTAGAAACGGTGCTGTAGAATTGAAAGCACAACCTAAAGGACAGGTGCCTTCTTTAGAACTTGAATCTTTTCAGTTTCTTCTTATGAAATCCATCATTGTCATAATGGCCAACTTATGCATTACAGGGGCAGATTGTAGCGAGAAACTACAATCCTCAACAGGAAAACGGCATAGGGAAGAATGGATTCGTCTACTATAACTCGATGATCCACCAATGTGCCGCAGAATATGCAACGGGTAAAGACCTAAAAGACGACGCAGCTTGTACAAGTCTCAGAATTGGAAATTTACGCATCGATCCTTCACTGAAGAGACCGATGATGACTAATATGCATCCAGCAGCACCAGACTCTACAAAGAATGATGATGTGTCTAGCAAAGACGCTATGGTAAGCTTGCTACCATATTTACTTGTTTCTGCATGTTAGAATACGTGAAATCACTTTGAATCTCTCTTTAAAAGTGCCCATATAGAGAGATGGAAGGTTATTACAAATATATATATATATATATAGAGAGAGAGAGAGAGAGGGAGGGTTCAAATGAGAACACCTTCATTTTACGAGAACGTGAGAACACCCTTTTACTATTCACATGTGATACTATTATTCCATCACATATGATACACATGTGATACTAAATCAGAGACGCGGACGATTTTCGATGCGATTTTGGTTGTAGGCGCTCTTACACCACTAAGCCCCCTCATAAGTATTATCACATGTGATAAGGGTGTTGTTGATATGATACTATAATTCATCAAGACCATCACATGTGATGCTAAATCATATATGCAGACAACCTTTGGCATAGCCTAAGTCGTAAAACACGTCGTCTGCACAGGGTCCCCTTTCGCGTATTATCACATGTGATAAGGGTGTTCTCGCGTCCTCATAAAATGGAGGTGTTCTCGTTTGAACCTCCACCTATATATATATATATATATATATATATATATATATATATATATATATAATAATTTGGTCCGTGTTTAGCCAATGAGGACTCTAACACCCCTCCCTCTCAAATGGAGGCAAAAAAGTGTGAAGAACATTTGATCAATAATGCAGTCTTATATGTGAAGAACATAGTGTATATATAGAGAGAGAGGTTTGATGCCTGTGTTTAGCAGATGTGAGGCTCCAACAATGTAGTCTTATATGTGAAGAACATTTGACCAAATTATGACTCAATTGTCAGGGCCCGATACAGAAGCTAAACAGGGTTTATTCTGGACCATTGATTACTCGAGGTGGAAACACAGAAGACATGCTCAAATTACACGAAAGACATATTCAAGCAGCAGTTCGGAAAGCACGTGCAGACAAGACCAAAACTAGAGAGCTATGATATAACCGCGTGCAAGCAGTCTTTAACATGCCACACCCATTGGAATTTTGAGATTCTGCTACCTTCATTAGGAGGGAAAGATCAGTCTCGAGGGTGACCCGCTTCTAACCGGGAGTCGAAAGATGATCTTCGCGAGTATTATTGTTATTGCTGCAGTGAAGCATGAGGTGAAATCAAATGAAAATCTTGTGGTTTTTCATGGCAGTCACCTGCAGGGTGGTTGTGAAAGGAGTTGTGCAGGCCAAAACCACAGATAAAGTGAAAAGCATACCATTGTAAGAATATAAAACTAAAACTGCATTCATAATTGAGATTTGGTGGCTTCCCGGTTGACGTAAACGATTACTCGTAACGTGTTAATGATTGTTGGCCCGTTAAGAAAGCAAACAAGTCGTATTTGATCCAATTGATATTAAAATATGGTTTGAAGCTCGAGATTCGGTGGTTTTTCAATTGACGTAAACGAGTACTCATGTTATCGTAACATCATAATGATGTTAGCAATGTTATGTTTATTTGGTTTGATTTAGACGTATATACAAGAAAAAGATTGTTGAAATTTAGTGGACAGTTACAAAAGAACAGTTATCAAAATACCAACATACGACCATCAGTTAGTAACTTAGGGGTGGTAGGGGCACTGCCCCTTGGACCCCGCAAAAGGGTGCGACCATCTTGACCCGCAAAAGGGTGCGACCATCTTGACCCCACCATAAGACACCTTCCAATAATCCTAGGTTCTTACATAAGGATGCCCTCCACACCTCCTAATCCATGATATAGCTTAACTATCAACCCAATATTCTTTTTTAAATCAAATTACATAAAATGAACAGATAATTTCACTAAAATCACCAACAAATTTTTTCCCAACAGACAAGGGATACGAGTTTTCACACAACTATACATAAAAGCAAAATATTTAGGGGCCGTTTACCTAAACACTTACCCGGTAAGCACTTATCGATAAAATTCAACACTATCATTTACTTATCAGATAATATTTGAGTCACATAAGATGATGATAAGTTATCACTCCATGTAGAGTAGGATTCATATATATTATATATATAAGTAGGAGAAACAAAATTCTACCTTGACCATTCTGTACAATTTGAGACTAAATATAAAGACTGATGAGATGGTAACTCACCAACTTTAACCTCAACTTTCTGTCATTTTATTTCAACTCAAAATCACTTCAAACAGAAACTATAGATCTTGCTTCGGCTTGCGGCTGAGCTCCGAGTAACGACCGCCCATAAGCTGCAAAATCTCTTCCCACAGACCCTCGGTTGAAGAATTCTGCGTACCACCAAAAATCAAATTCGAACTACAAGCCGCAACATGCCATAAACCGGCATCAATCTCTTCCCTCAGCTGATCAAGTTGCCAGCCAGCATACCCGACGAAAAATCTGAAGTCTTGAGGTTTAAGAACTCCGGTTTTCACTAGAGCCGAAGCTTCGTCCAAACTGTTTCGAGAACCAAAGCACAAAGTCGGAATGACTTCTTCAAAATCGAGAATGTTTTTCTTCCCTCCAGCTCTTAACAGGAATATGCTGGCCTCAAGAGGGCCACCAAAATGCAACAAACAATCAGAAAATGTGGTTGCCAGATGGAGATTTGTGGGTTTCATGTTTTTTATCTTTTTATGAAGGGGGCGATTTACGATTACGCCAAATGGACCTTCTTGTGGGTGTCGGGTTCCGGATCCAAGTAGAAAGACGACCGATCTTTCAAAGGTTTGAACCCCATCGAGCTTTTCTGTCGCAACAAGGACACATCCCGTCTCGGGGGAGGTAAGGGGATGAGCCCATTTTGACCCGAGACGTTTAGACTCTTGGACGACCCCTTCCTCTTGTTTGTTAAGCATTAACTGCATAGAATAATCCCATAAATCAGTTATATTCCCTTTAGCCATTGCAAAGTAACTTGGATCTTGAAAGAACATAAGGGCGCAGGACAGGACGAGAGGATGGTACAAAAACGTGTCATCTCGCATTTGGCGTGACATTAACCAGGGACAAAACTATATTTTCTCTATCCCATCGAAATAGGTGGAACAAAAATCAGGGAGATGAGACAAGTTTGGTAAATTACTAAACTACCCATGTCAAGTTACGACCGTGAAACCTTCCACAATTCTTTCACCCACCTACCTCACTCTTACCCATCCAGTTTTGTCTAGTCCAAGAACGGATAGAACCTGAGTGGGACCAAAATAGGTGGAAACAAAATCAGGGAGATGGAACAAGATTAATAAATTACTAAATTACCCATGTCAAATGAAAATCCTAAAACCTTCCAAAATTCTTCACCTGCCTACCTCACTCTCGCCCATCCAATCCTGTCCTGTTTGGTCCCACGACAGGACAAGCCCTGAGGGGGAACCAAAATAGGTAGAACAAAAGTGTCTGGAAGATAGGACAAGATTGGTAAATAACTAAACCACCCACGTCGAGTTAAAACCCTACAAGTCTACAACCTTACACAATTCTTTCACTCAACTACCTCACTCTCGCCCGTTCAGTCTAGTCAGCGTACCAAATGCACCCTAACGATTCACTATATTCTTGTTGGAGAACCAAAGTTAATACTTTAGCTAAAGAAGAATGGAGGTCTGATTCAGAAATATTACCTGCTGATTCAGATAGAGAATTGCTCTAAACTCTCTCCAGTCAGTGGCTTTATTCTGAGACTTTGGAGTACCTGTATTGCTAGATTTATTGCTTTCAGCAGGATTATTTCCATTGTGACCCTCTCCTTCCGGAATGGAATGATCACCATTGCCTGGGTTTATAGAAACACCCACGAAAATCAACATGTATAAGATGAGATTAATTGGAAAATTTTCCTTTTTGGCTAAATTTCAAGCCAAAATTACTTATTCGTCAATTAGTAATCATTGCAAAATATTGATAACACTTACTTTGGTCGACAAGATTCTTAACCGTCATTAAGAGGGGGGGTTTAGATATTTTACCAACAGACTTCTGTTAAACCGTGCGTAGTCAAATTGCATCTACTCTATGACAGAGACAGTAACCAAAAACAGATACAAAAACAAATAATATTATATGTGTGTATATAATTATTATTTGTGCCTACTTGTTACCTTTTTTGTGCTCCGCTCACCATATGTTAGTATGTATTCCTTACACGTATTTGCTCACACTAAGGTTAACTTAAGGGACTGAATACCTCATCTATCAGACGTGTTTTAAAACTGTGAGTCCAGGTGAGGACAAAGCGGACAATATCTTGTACGGTTAGCCTGAGATGTTACAGGGTTACGTACATCTCAACACCCCCCCCCCCAAAGACCCTACTTTCCAGTGGAATTTATTGGGTCAGTTTGGTTTATGTATATATATGGGTATGTGTATGTATATATGCAGATATGACACTAAGTAAGTGTGTGTGTGTAAATTCTTGGAGAAACGTTTTTTACAGTGCAGGTAAGGTATATCAAGTTATCACTAAGGTTTTGTCGCGGGGAAAGTCTGGTTATGAGGCAAAATGTATCTTGTTCTATCCTTGATTGGAGATTTCTCTGTGAAAAAACTAAAATTTGATGAGAGGGAAGGAGAAGAGCCCGCTACTTGCAATGAGTAGAGGTTTTATTCAATCACATAGTGAAGTTGAGCAACTAAAACTTGAACCAAATTTAAACGCAATACCAAAGTTCATTGGAAAAGGCAACCCAAAAGATTTGGGACCAAAAGCGGTTAGCGGCTTTTAGGAAATAGATGAAAAAGATCCTTTGGATTTAAAAAACTTACTTTCAGTTAAATCAATTACGAACTTTTTTCTAGGATGCCTAAAATTTGTTTTACATCTTCATGAAAGTGTTCCATTGTCATAAGATCTTCTTGGCTATTATTCAAAAGGTTATATGTATATATATGGGTTGGGTTCTGGTGAAAAGGACAGTTAAGGTGAGAAGCGTAAGAAAGGATCTTCACCCTTAGATGCACATTAGGATGAGAAGCACCGGATCATTCCCCGTTTTATATATATATATATATATATATATAGAGAGAGAGAGAGAGAGAGAGATTTAAAGCAGAACCCATCAGAGGAAAACATGTAGCTTGCAAGCATTTTTATCTACATATTTATGAAAAAAATTGGAGAAACTGAAGTTCGACCATCCTTGCATCATCATAATATGGTCATAGATCTTAGGTTGTAACTTGATCATGAGCGAATTATCACTCATCATCAGTCCTTTTCTGACTAGATTTAACTGAACCTCAAAACCACATCCCACAAGTGTTGATCATCAAATTTGGATGTGAGAACAACAAATAACAACACTTCGTTGGTTTCACTATACTTTTACAATATTGGAACATTATACTCCATAACCAAAAAAAAAACATACAGTGACATGTGACGCCTTACCAACAATCGTGTTGCAAGCAAGGCGCCATAGTTGACTGCAAGCAAAAAGCATACCTTTGACCCCCCATTCAAACCAAGCTACCCCTGAAACAAGGATAGAAGCACCTTGTTTCGTATACAAGATAATCACATCGTCAAACTAAAGAGTTCAACATTATTATAACTTAATTTAATCATATCCCGATGATCACATCTTGTTTCCTATATAAGATGACAACCAACACAATTTGTCTCTTGCACTTTGTACTCCTAAAATTCATGGCTTTTTCCCAAGATCTATCTGCAACCAATTGTCTCTTTTCATTACTTCTGCTCTATGATGGAAATGGGGGATATGAATTCTAGTTACACAAGAATGGCTAACATAAATAACAAGTATTCTAACTAGGAAAGGAAAAAGACAAATCTATGACCAACTTAGATGAAAGCAAGACAAAATAAAAAGGAGGTGGCTTACAAGAAGTAGTATGCAATACATATCTAGCTAATAACTCCATAATACATATATAAGAAATATTGTTTACTCTCTTAAGAGTTAAGACCACAAAGAAGCAAAAAATGCATTCCATCTCTCAAAGGGTACAATCCTATCATGCCAATCCTCCACAAATCCATTTAATCAAAAAATGCACACTGCCAAAGAATTTGTGTAGCATCCCCCCCCCCCCCCCAAAAATGAAACATACACACACACACATATATATTTAATTACTCTCTTAAGACCATAAAGAAGCAAAATTTGCATTCCTTCTCTAACCATAAGAAGAGAGCCAATCAACAAGGCTTGGAAGCCTCCCACACTCACGTTTGTTGCACGTGTTAAGGTACAACAAGTTCAGCGCTAAAATGAACAGGGGTTCACTAATTAAATAAGTGGATATTTCATTGTTAAGCACATACAACATATACTAATAATATTATTAGTAAATGTTATGTAATCATTTGACATCATTAGCATTCTAGAAAATACATGCAATCTTCTAGATAAAATAACAAGTGTTGTTCTACGCATATACAAACATTTATAAACTAAATAGTGACACAAGTACTTGGAAAAAATTTACAGACCATGGGTTTCTAATTGCCAAAGCAAGCAAAGGCAGACAAAAGTAAAATAGAAGGGCATCTAGTTGTTGCTGTAAATGCCTTGCCTTGGGCGAGCCCACCCGGGTTCGATTCCAGGGGAGGACAGGTTGTCTTTTCCGGTGCTTGCTTATGAGGTATGGCAAGTAGGGTTCACAAAATGTGGACCACGGGGACATGAGGTCCCCGCCATTAAACCTTTTTTTTTTTTAGTTGTTGCTGTCATTTTGTTTCACTTCTCTCTTAATCAAAGTCTCCTCGATCAATTAAAGCTATAATTATTAATGGTCAGTTTTAACCAAAGCCTCTCTTTCCCTGTCAATTGGATACAAAAAACAAAAACTATAAGTTTTGCTATTTTTAGGTGGCAAACTTACAAATTTTGACACTGCCAGCCAAAAATACAAAATCGCAAATTCTACAGTGAAGGGGGAGATGTGGACCAAACCTGGGACACACAAACAAAGCACCCATGGCACACCCACATGCATCCACACTAAAGGGACTACGACGAAATAGCATGCTAATTAGCATTCTCAAAAAACAAAGCACACATAAAATACTCGTTGCACACCACCCGTGCACTCCAACTATGATCCCTCCCATGAATATTAGTTCTAGAACCTAGACTTCCTTAATATGACACTGCCATAGTTGTTAAAAGCATGCATGAGCCTCAACATGAAGAATATGTGGAAAATACATTATTACCCTTTGCAAAGGCCCATGAGCCTCAACAAACAACACTTCACCTCCTTCTGCTATATTCCTAACATTAAGGTCATAACTATAAGATAATGTATAGGAACCCATTAATTATTCCTAAAACTTATAGGCAATGTTATCACCCATCAATTAAAATACTAAGAAAGACAAATATGTATTAGAGGGATGGTACAACATATCCTCTCCCTGATCAAGACAGTTGAGAAACGCATCCAGAATATCAAGCTTCTCTTGCACAAAACGACTACTTTTTTCAGCTTCATTTCTCCATTGGTTTTCTTAGATCTTCAATACCAAGTCTTAAGTTCTTGCTTTCCTCCTTTACTTCTTACATCAAGATAAAAGAAGAATGAATCAATCAATCTCTTATCACAACATGCATCATTTAGTCATGGGTATGTGATTGTATTCCTTGGGGAAGGGGTGGCTTTGTTGCTATTAGCCTATTATTGCAAATTTGCAATAACCTTGTGCATGTTCATTTAGGATATATTTTATCATGTGCACCCCATGCTTATTATTGTGTATACACCTACGTTCAATTTTGTAAATTTGGGTGTTGGTGCACTATTCTAATTTGACATGCTATGCTACACTACATTTGATAAAGAAAACATAGCTTAATCTAAGTTAACTATTGAATCTTTGATCCATTTATCTAAAATATTTTTTGGCATTTTGTTTTACAAGAACCTACTTCTAGCTAGACAAAGCTTTATCCAGAACAATTTTAAAAACAAAAATAAGAGCTTCTGTTAAATGGATGGCGAACTCTCAGCTTGTGTGTAATATGTGTTCTTGCAAACTTTAATGGGATGAAGGGAGAATTTTTCTAATAACACCCAACAGGCCACTTCAAATGTTTCTGTTCTCTCTTTCTTGCACAATCTCCAAAAAATCTCAAAATTCAGAAGGCTTATGCTCTACTGACACTAAGAAGATGATCTCTTTAATTAGAACCTATATGGTAATTGGAGCATAAAGAGAAAACAATGTACCTAAGATACCCCATCACTTCAAAGCTCAGTTGGGCGCTACCGCTTGACTGATAGAAAGTCAGGTTGATCTGTTGAGTGAAGCTGTGAGCCTACCCGATTAAGGCTACAGTTTCTTGAAAATACAAACATAAGAGAACTCAAATATAACATAACGTTGAGTTTTTATCCTTTCTTCACCCTTTGTTTACTTCTCTTCAAGATGACATATTACCCTCTGTTTCAGTGACCACCGAGTTTTCATGATTTGGGCCATGAATCCCCCATGGATTAGGCATGTCAACAGGTTAGACTACTAGGTGATGTGACACATGATTATCTAATAATGATATGATACTATGGATCCCAATTCGATCGATAAAGCTATAGATCACAATTGATCCAAGATCCAACTTGATATGGCTTAAATCGATGTTTATAATTTACACTTTTGTACCTGCTGCTAAGCTCGACTAAACCAAACAAAAGAAATATACCCAGATAATGTCACTAGGCTGCTAAGCTTGACTCTGAATCTAATAACAGTCGATCATTTTCATCCTCTTTCTTGTCTAACAATTCTGACATATCATTTAAGTACCAGTTGGCGGTTGCAGAGTGGTGGAGGTGCACATAGTATTCTTACCACTACCATCACCAAGAATAAAATATATCACCACTGCCCCCATCGAGCACCATCAACGTTGCTCCTATATATTACCACACAAATGGACTTGCGAAGATCAAATTTCAATCATGGTCTGCAACATCAACAAGTCTACCATGGATAGGCTCACCCCATAAGTATATGTATATCCATTATCTAAAGAATTAGGTGACATTCGGCCACATATGAAACACTGATATCAACGTGAGTTGTTTTAACTTTTATTTCTATAATCTTCTATTTTAATGTGTTCCACATTCGTAATATAGATAATTTATCAAACAGCTTTTTCCCTCTTAATCAGACAAACTTTATGTTGAGATTGATCTTGGACATGAAGAAAACATAATTATTGAAGAATTCAACACAACCTCCATACAATGCGATGCATCAAACATTAGTCAAAAGCAACAAAAACTAGAAAAACCAACAACTCGGGATTTCCAAAAATTGCTACCATAAGCTAAATGTTCAAGGTCCTTGGATTCACTAATTACAACATATCTCAAAATAATCAAAAATCAACATCAGTTCAGAAAACAGCTACATTTTTTTTAAATCATCGGTAATCCCAAAACATATATCACAATACAAGCGAGATTCAAAGAAAGTAAAAGAAAACAGGTCAACGATGATATATAAAAAAAAACCCTAAATTATTGAAGAGAAAAACAGAAGCGCACCTGAAGGAGATGATGAATCAGAATTATTCTGCGAATTCTTCTTTCCCATAGCTCGCACGACAAACGATGTACGGGAAGAAACAGTTCCTCTCGGAACCCTGATCTCGAATGCCTTTCCAACATCGAAAGAAACCATCTTTCTTGATTTCCATGAAGAAACAGGCTTATCGTACAAGTGATTATTCTTCGATACATAAGGGCACCGAGCTGCAGTTTTGATCTGTACAGCCCACAGATCCATCAAGATTCTCTTCTCTTACTAATTATCAGCCTGAAATTGAAATCTTGAAAAGTGTTTTAGTTTGATTTTGAAGAAGCCATGAAAATGTCAGAGGGAGTCGTCATAAAAGATGATAAAAGGTGGACTATATGAGGAATTCAGTGGTAATCAATGCGGATGTTCGAGATGAGAGCAACCAGGATGAAAGGGAAAGGAACGTGATCAAGTGTGTGTGTGTGTGTGTGAGAGAGAGAGGGAGAGAGAATATGCCAAGATATAAACCGTTTTTATGGAGAAAATGACTCGAACGATGGGTTTAGACCCGTTGCCACGATGTGTCCTACATGGTTCATGGGTTTAAATCACAACGAGGTTACGGGGTGATTGAAATTGCTTATAAAAGCTATTTTTTAATTTATTTCAGTTTGATATTGGTGATAAGATGTTTTCTGGTATTTGGATAAGGAAAAAAAATTGTTTATACCGGTGTCAAACCGGTAATAAGTTATTTTTTGATAAGATAATTCTTCTTGACTTATGAAAAACTGTTTATTATCAGTTTACAATTTTAACCATGTTTTATTTAACTCCAGTTTGATACCACATAAGTTAATAAGCACTTTTACAACAAAAAAAACATAAGTTGTTTTAAATAAGCAATGCCAAACACCCTATATATAATAGATGAGAAAAATATTATCCAGACGAGTGAATAAATCGACTTTGATACAACAACGATTAATTATTATTACTATAAAATTAGTTCATAGATACATCTTGATTTTAATATCTTTATTTTAATGTTTAGTTTTATTATAAATAAAATAAAATTTTGAAGATACAATCAAATTTTTAAGAGAAAATATATTTATATTAGTATTAATTTTTTTAGAGAAAATATATTTATATTTTTAAATAAAATAAAATTAACTATTAGTTTTAATTTGTTAATATCGAGTACAAGGATTAATAATTAGAGATTTAGCAACATTTGAATCTTTTAAGGATGTTGTGCAATTGAGAAAATTTTAGAACAAAATAAATATATTTATAGTATATTATAAAACATTTGACAAAAACTTTTAAAAACTATTTTTTATGTATAAAGTACATTTAAAATTCAAGATTACAAGTAAATTATGCACAATTATAACTTATTAAAGCTTTATGTTTGAATTCATGTAACTAACTGCGGATAAA